AATGCCTTCACAAGTACAATTATTCTCTTTCTCTATGAAGATATAGTAATAAAACATGGATTTTCAAAAGAAATACTTAGTGATAGAGGAACTATATTCATCAATAAAATAATCAAGGAACTATTAGACAAATACCAAATCAAATACAGACTTTTTGCATCTTATCATTCTCAAATTAATGGATTAGTTAAGAGATTAAACTAAACTTTATGTACTTCATTATTAAAATATGTCCAACTCTATAAGAAAGATTAGGACCATTATCTACCTTCAGTTCTATTCACCTACAGAATAATAAAATAAAGTACAACTTTATTTGAATTTTTTCAACTAGTATATAGTCAACAAGCAATCACACTATTAGATATTAAATTAAAAGATTTTAATAATCTTACTTTTGAAGAAGTTCTTATTAAAAGAATCTGTGAATTGATCAATAAATTAGAAACTATATGAGAACTAGCTCTTAGTAATATCCAAGAAGAACAGATAAAACAAAAAGAATAATATGACAAGAAATAAAAGTTAACAGTTTTTCAAATAGGATAGAAAGTATTAATGAGATAATAGAAACTCAATACTGATATCATAATAAGTTTGGAGAAAAATAAAAAGGACTATTCTATATATATGAAGTATATGATAAAGGAATATATAAGCTCAGAAATGAAGATGGAAAAATCTTAAAGAATCCATATAATGATAACTATTTGAAATTATATGTTGAGTTTAACAATCTAGAACCAATAATTATCATCAATAATTAAAAGATTTATGGAGTAAATCCCTTAAAGTCAGAGATTCTATAATCAATCACTTATTCATGTGGTGCAGTAGATATAGTATAATATATGATACAGCTATAGTATGTGATGCAGTAATCACTAATCACTATTAAATCAGATAAATAAGTAATTTTATTAATTAATCTTATTTATAATTAATTTTATTTTTAATCTATATTATTATCTATATTTAGTCTTATTCAAATATTAATTTAGCTATGTATATCATTCTTAATTTATAATTTTATTAAATTAATAATTTCCTAATTAATTATTATTAATTTTCTTTCATTTCTTACTTTAGCTTTGAATAATTTAATGTTTCATTAATTTTAAATTCTTTATTATCATGTATTTAATATTTCTTATAAATATTCTTTTTAAATTTTACTTGTTCCTAATTAAATTAAGTAAAATATTATGTTAAAAACAATTTATAATTAGTATAATAAGGAAAATATTATATATAAAGAGTCAAAAAGTGATTAAGAAAAATAATTAAGTTTGATAGAAGTAATTATTACTAAGTTAAGAGTAGTTAATTAGTATTTTTCTTTAATAAACATATATATTTTATCATATATCTTATCTTATTTTCTTCTTGCTCTATTGAGAGAGCATTTTAATTAAAAGTAAATTTATATAAATTATTTTATTGAGAAGATAATTATATTTTATTATAAATAAAACATGTATAAATTATCTTATTGAGAAGATAATTATATTTTGGTTAGAAGTAAATCTCATATATATTATCTTATTGAAAGAATAACCAGTTATATAATCTCTTAAAGTTATAAAAGTAAACAACTATCATAAATACAGTTACTATTACCATTTTAAAATAATTATATATATATAATCTTAAAACAGTAATAATATTATAATAATATAAAGAGCTTGAATTTTTAATATATTAATATTTATTTTCTTTTATTAAATATTAACTTAAAGATTTAGTTAATAAATATTAGAATAATTATAATTTTTAAATAGTAATATTAATATTTTTATTTTTGATAAGTAATTTTAATTATTATTATTTATTTGAATTTATTTACTAATTAAATTTTTAGTTAAATATTAAAATAAATTAAAGTAAATTATTTTATTCAAGACTTGAAAATAACTATTCTTCAAGTAATTTAATATATAATTAAATTTTGAAGAAAAATATTTGTTAAGATTATTTATAATTTTTGATATCATATCAAAATTTTTTCTATTAATACTAATTTTTTGAATAATATTTAAAAAATTAATAATTTAATAATTAATAAACTTATTAAGATATTTGTTACTCTTGATTTTCTTACTATAATAAAAATTAATAAATTTTTAATTTTCTTTAATAAGAATATTATTTACAAGATTTCTAAAAATAATTAAAAGCTTATAAACTTATTTAAAATTAAAAATTTGACTGAAAAAAGCTTAAATCATAATAATAATATTAAAATTTTAATAATTATAATTAATATAATATTAAAAAATTTAAATAGTATTAAAATATTTTTACTTTAATAAAAAAATACAAGTAAGTAATTAAAATTATTAGATAGATTAAAAAAGTTTATTAAGAAAAAAAATTATTTAATTATAATAATTTTATATAAATAATTATTTTATTAAGACTATTTAATTTTATTATAATAAAAATAATATAAAAATTATTAGCAATTTAATATTATTATAATAATATATAAATTATAATAATATAAAATATTTAATATAATATATAACTATATTATATAATATATTTTTCTAAATATATATATTTTTTAAATATTAATCTTAAAAGAAATATATTTAAAAAAGATTATTTATATTTAAAAAAAATAAAATAAAATTAGAATAATTATAATAAGTTATCAAAATAATAAAGTTTAAAACTATTATAAATAATAATAAATATTTAATTAATTACTTTGAAATAAAAATACTTATTATTATATATATTAATAATATTATTAATTATAGATATATAAAAATATTAATAATTATATTAAAATATATAATATATATTAATATAAAAATAAAAGTAAAAAAATAATAAATTAATATTATTTAGTTATATAAAGATTAATATTAATCTTATTAAATTATTATTAATAATAAAAATTAATAATAAAAAATAATAATTATTATAATAATATTATTATAGATTATTTTATTAAATAGATTAAAGCTAAAGTTATATTAAATATTATTATAAAAAATATAGTCTTATTTTTTTATAAAAATATTATTTATAAATATAAAATTTTAAAAAAAATTATATTAAAATAGAAAAATTATATTTATTAATAATATAATTATTAAATTATTAAGTATATATTAAGTTAAATATTACTTATCTATATTATATTATTTTTAAATAAATAATTTAGTAAAATACTTAAATAAAATAATTTGTATTATATTAATAAAATAGATTTAATTATATAAATAAAATTAAAATTATTATTTTTTTAAATATTTTATTTATTTAATAAAATAATAAGATAAAATATTATATAATTTAAATTATTTTATTTAGTAAATAATTATTAAATAAGAATATATAATTAGAATTATTTAATAATTACATAATAACTTTTTTATAATATATCTTTTTTATAGTAAAAATTAATTATATTTTAGATAATAAAATTTTGAGAAATTCTTATAATAAAGATTAACTTAAGTTTTATATTAATTTTAATAAATTAAAATTAATTATCATTATATAAAATAAAATTCAAGTAAAAAATTCTATTATTAATTTATCTTATTTTTAATTTTATAATTTTAATTATATTATAATAATTTTTATTTTATTTTTTAATAATCTTCTTTTTTTATTATTTTTTATTATTTATCTTATTTAATATAATATAAATTATTTATTATTTATATTATATTTTTAATTATCTTAAATATATATTCTATTTTTTAATTTCTTATTGATATTCTAAATTATATATAATAAAGTACTAATTTAAATAATATTATACTAATTAAATTATTATTATATTTATTATATTCAAAATATTATTAATTTATCTAATATAATACTTAATATTTTATTAATTAAAATTTTATATAAATATAGATTAATATAATTTAAATTATTATGAAAAATTTTATAATTAATAAATTAAGTTAATTAACTATTTTTGAAATCAAAAATTAATAAAAATCTAAAAAATTAATTAATATTTTTAATATATTTTACTTATTATTATTCTTTATATTTGATTTTAACTTATCAAATTAATAAAAGTTATTTTTTTATATTTATTTTATTTATATTTCATAATTATAATAATTTATTTAACTAGTAGAAGTAATATAATTTTGCTTATTATAGACTTATTATTTTATCTTGATTATAATTATTATTATTAATACTTCTTATTTATTATTTAAAAATATTCTTATTTATAAATCTTATCTAGTTTAACTTTCTCATAATTATTAATATTATTTTTATAATATTTTTATTAATTAAATATTAAATTTAGTTATTAATTTATTTTTTAATTAAGAATAGTAATAATACTTATTTATTAATAATATTATTTATTTTAAAAATATAAAAGATAATTTTTTTTCTTATTTTTTTTAAAATATTTTTAATAATATTATTAAAAAATAATAAATCATTTAAGTTTAAAATAATAAATTTTTATTTATAATTAAATTTCTTTATAATTATCATATTTGAAAAAGCAAAATTAGATAACTAAAAGAAATATAATTATAAAGTGATTTTTTTAATTAATAACTAAAATACTTAAAAAAATAACTATAAAAAAAGATAACTATAAAAAGATATAATTATAAAAAGATCTAACTGTAGTTATATGATATAATAATCAGAAATTTTATATAAAAATCAATTTTTCATATATTATAAAATAATAATTTTTACTTATATTTTAGATAATAATTCTTTGATTTATTCATATAAGAACAAATTCTTTATAAGGATCAGACTTTTTAATTCGATTGTATTCTTATAGAGACGCGACTGTAATTATTATTCATTTATAAAAATACTAATAAATAAAGTTAATAATGATTTGGTTCAAACCAATCATGGATTTCACATGATTTTCAAATCCACGTAAATCCCGAAATCGAATTCAATATCACATGATATTACCCGACTTTTAGTGAATCCCGAATAAAATTTATGATCTAAGTATATTCCAATCTATTCACGGCAAAATGTCAAACACGAAAAATACAAACAACTTTTGCACCAATGAAAACGACAACGAGGCAAATAGCCGAGTAGAGCGATATGTGAAAATAGGCAGAGATTATCCAGCGAGTTTTTTAAGAACTTTATGGAATCGAACGCGCGTAATCTCGGCAACTGAGACGGAAAGTGTATTCGAGTTAGATGTGACCATGGAAGAATGTAATTTATCGGGTAATTTGCACGGTGGGTGTATTGCTAGCATAGTGGACACGTTGTCAACTGCAGCATTAATGGGTAAGCAAAACCACGAAATTAAAACAAAAAATAATTTAAAACAATAAACATTATTCCATCTAATATCGAGGTATACATAATAATGATATAAAAAGGGAACAAGAATGGTTGGCCTGGAGTATCGACCGATCTCACAATAGCGTATATATCACCGGCATCTTCTGGGGATACTATTCGTGTTGAATGTAAGATAACAAGAATAGGTAGGAATTTTGCAAATGCAACTGTTGTTATTCGGAACAATAGGACAGGTAAGGTGGTAGCCGTTGGGCAACATACAAAGTTTAACGGTGAGTATTTTATTTATTAATGAAATGAATTTGAATTTAGTTATACTCGAACGAAAAGCACTAATTATATGTTGCAAATTATATATAAGCCTCGGCTAAAATATAATTAATTTTTCAATGAATGATGACTGCTTCCTTTTCTAAAAGTCTCACCGGTATATTTAAAGTATCATCGCTTCATACTGACCTCCTGCTTCAATTCTTCAAGTCGAATATCACCTTGATCTATCATAATTATATCATTATCACCTCCTTATTTTTTTCTTTTATTCCCATTAACTGTGCGTCTTCGTTCTTTGGACCTTGAATTTTAGGATGTCTTGATAGATATACAATTATTATATCACGAAATAGAAAATTTTCATATCATAAACACAGCTTACACTCGGATCTGGATCTGTATATCTTATCATTATTATCCCCTAAACTGGTTTGCATTGATCTTATTGTTGTTTTACCACTTTTCAGCTAAATTGGTAACAAATTCGTTTAGTTTATTAGATTCCGAAGTACCAAATTAATGCTAGTACTAAGTATAAAAATAGTTGGATTTATTTTTATTAATAAAAATATTTGGTGTTAATATTAATCATAATTAAAAATATTCATTTAGATCGTTTAATTTCTTTAGAATGGCAATGTTAATATATTTTTTAGGCTTCTTTAGGTCATTAGCCTTAGAATGATATGGGAACCAGGTACATTTAATCGATATTTGGAGGTGTTAGATTTTTTTTCATAAAATTCTTCGTGTTGCGTTTCTTACATGAGCTACTCTACAAAATACAGATATCGTGAATCTTTGTTGGCTTTAGAAGTTTCACTCAAAATTCGGATCAAAATGTATGACTTGTAAGTTATTAGTTGAGGTGAACGAAGGAATAAAAAAGATTTAATCTTCATTTTTAAAGAATTCAATAAGTATTCTACCATTATCCATGATTACTTTTGGTACAGGTGAATCTATGACAATATTCATGTTAGCTTGTCGTCCTTGTTCTCCAAACCTAGTTCCTTGACGCGTTTTCTAATCTATTTAATTTGTTACGTTAAAAAAGCAATAATCATTTTAATTGTTGGCTTTTTCATTTTGCAGCAAAGAGAGCTTTTCTCTGCAAACTTATCAATTCTGAAACTATTCGTTATTTTTAAGTTCACGAAGTTGCATCCCATTTGGAATGGGAATATCAATTTTTTTTGCTCGGTCATAAACTTCCAGAAGCACGTGATTTTTTAAGGAGCAAACCAATTAAATCGCAAGAAATATAATAGAATTTAGCAGCTATTGTTGGAAAGCAGTATTTTGATCAAAGTAGTAATCTCGATATTCTATATTATCTTTTTTATTAAGTAAAAAAAAAATTTGAACGGCACATTTTCGTGATTATTATGCTTTATTTTGGGAAAATGATCTATTTTGCATTATTTGAGAATTTTATATTTACTAATATGGTACAAAAGGGGATTATGGTGATGAAAATTATAATGGATGTGGATTATTTTATTTAGGGGAAGGAAAATATCCATGCGTATTAAGTGTTTTTATTTTTTAGAAAAATGCGGAAATGCATTAAGTATTAAGAAGAATTAAAAAAAATGAAAAAAGAAAAAATTACAAAAACTCATTTATTAATTTGATATTAATATTTAAAAAATAAAAAAGATCGTCGGTTTAACATTAGATTATTTTTGGTTTGAACCATGGCCTAAACCGGTAGGTACTTGATTTTGTGCTAATTATAAAAGAAAATGTTAACGTTAATAACGATAAAATTCGCGAAAATAGAAGTGATCTACTGAATAGAATTTCTTACCATAATCAATTTCAGTGACATAATCACCAATGGCTAGAACAATGGTAGACGTGATATCGGTAGCAAGATCGCCAGAAATACCTGCGAATAAACTTTGAATAGCGGTAAGACTAATTTGTAGGGTCAAATTTAGATCGCGAGTGGTCATCACTTGTTTGGGTGGTATAGCAATAGGTGAGCTAGTCAGATCTTGGTCCAATGTTCCGATAACTTGTCCTTTATACGTGATTGTGGCCTTCATTTTCAAAAATTTTATTGTAGTGTCGAGTGGATTGTAAGCGTCAACCGAAGCCGTGCCCTGTTTCGTGAATACTGAGCCGAAATTGATGGTGAATCGCGATCTCACGAGAATGGGTTGATCCGATTTGAGACCTGGCATCGAAGTTGATAGTTTTAGACCTGCAAGAGCTTTTTGTAGGCTTCCGATTTCTGTAGACTGAGGACTTCCTTGAATCCCGACTGTATTGCTATCACCCTTCATGAATGCGTCAAGAAGAATACGCCCAGCGGCAATTGCTTTGTCACCATTTGGACCGAAATGAGCAACCAAGTTAATGGTATTAGACCCACGATCAAGGATAAAATTATTCATGAGCACTTGACCAACTTTTTGACCTTGAAAATAAAGATCAAGAATTACATCACCCATCGAGATCTTTACATTTGATGGATTGAACAACGTGACAGAAAGGTTAATGATCATGTAATCTTTAGTTCCACCAGTTACACTCAATGAATTGATCGTGGCTGGTTTGACTTGTAATCCTTGTAGACCTTGAAGTTGTGTATCCACAATGAATTTAATCCCTTTAATTTCCACTTCACCAATTGAAGTTGATGCGATTGAATTTGCACTGCCTTTCATTGTCATTACTACTGATGAGTCCATCGTAAGATGTTCACTGAAGTCTTGGAAATTGGGTTCTGCTCCTTTAATCACGCTAAACGGCGTTGGCGGAATTTTCGAATCAATTTTTCCGATACTCGAATCCCCGTTAGCATCCGTGTAAGATGTCGAAAGAGTGGCAAGAGCATATGATCCACCGTAAATTGTAATATCCTGAGCGATTTTTTCCATTTTCAATTGAAAACCGAATGGGATTTTGAATGCTACTGATAATGCATCAGATTGCGCAGTAGGCGAATAAGCATTATCTTTATTGAATGCTAAATCCATTGTCTTTATATCTACACTATTAATCACGGTTAGATTTTGTGCACCGTGTAATACTACTGACAAAGTTGTTCCCACGAAAGCAGATTGCAACCAAGAGATTGGAGTTGTACTATTATTGTTATTATTTTTACTCGGTTTAACAGTTTTGGCTAATACGGTTGTGTTTGCATTTTCTCCAGCGATATATTTTGAAAACAATTCACTGACAGCCGCTAATCCTTCTGAAGTATTTTGTGGAATCAATCGACCGTTTAGATTGAGTGCATTAGCTCCTGTACCAAGAATTACATTGCTAGCGGTTACTTCCCCAATTTTTTGATTATTATATAGAACATCGAATTCAAGGTCGCCCAATTCTACGCCAATTGGTGACGGATTAACCATAATTGAGAGAAGCTGGATAGTAATACCGCCAGCCGGATCATCAGAGGGCGCGTCGAAACTCTTGATGCTGACATCAGGGAAATTTGCCATTCCATTCATTGTCACATCTTTAATAAGTTTAATTCCTTTCAGACTTAGACCAGCAGCTCTCACATTTGCGGATCCTTCTAAATGCCAAGTGAATTCTTTCGAGGTTAACATAAATTTATTGAATTCACCAAAAGCAGTTTTATTTAGGATAGTAAATGTTTGTGATGAATCTATATCCGCACCAACGAATGGAGCAGCTGAAATTGTGTCTAATGGTAATCTACCCAATACATTTCCATTCCAAGAAACTTCTACACCATCAGGAACATCGATTGTTGCAGCCATTGGTCCAGTATCAGTTACTATTTTATTTATATTAGATTAGATTATTAAGATATGAGTGTTAAGAAATTAAGTGATACAATTAATTTAATTTTATAAATTTACCTTTTCCATTGACTTTCATCACAAAATTATCTTCGGTGAGATTTGTTAGATTAGCGCTTGAAAAATGCAATTTTGATCCAGTAACAGCACCTTGAGCAATCGCGGGAGCAATCACAAAGACTGCCACTGGGATCATAATAGCAGCAATAATGATAGATATTCCACAACAAAGAAAACAACATGCTTTCTTTTTATTTTTCAAGAACCCTTTAAGGTTTTTATCTTTCTTTTGTGGATCATCACCAATATTCATAAACTCTTGAGTATCACGTGATATTTGTGGATCTGATTTAGGATCAGAGGTTGCAACTTTGTTAATGCTGCCATAATAAGGCGATGCCGTATTGTCTGCACTAAATCCACTAAATAATTGGTCATTACTATCTAATGAGGTTCTACTTGAAGGAGGAACTGGACTATCTGGACGATAATAAAGATTGACGGGAGGAGCTAATGACGATGAAGTGTTATTGAGATTACGAGAATTATAATTATTAATATTATCATTATCGTTATCATCATGTATTATACCATCATATACGTCATCATTATTTGGTGGCGCAGAAATACTAGACGGTTGACCGAAATTGTTCATATTTGTATTACTATTTCTGGCACGATTATTCTTTTCTGGTTGATACGTTTGTGGTGGTTGGTTTATATGTTGTGTTGGTTGTTGCTGATGCGGAGGGGGAAGATTTGATGCCATTTTATGTATATTTATTTATTTAAGGGTAATGTAATGGGATACTGATTGATGATATTGATTGATTGGTAGGATAAAATGCCAATATGTCAAACCGTGAGATATATTAATTATGATTTCACACGGTTAACACGCACTAACCGCAATTTTTACTAATTTTACTTTTTAAAAGATCATAGTCTACTTTCTTATCACGAATCGACGATTTCGACAATATGTGCTCTTTTTATGACGCGCAACGTTTTTCTATTTACCAAATATAATTACAAATATGAAAGGTTCTAATTTACACTATTAAACACGTATAGCATAAGGAGAAAAGAAAAAAACGAGATAGAGAAAATCCTAGTTCTTGTGTTCAAGTGTAATGGGAATAGTCTTGCTATTCTCTCGAGTTTTTTAGTAGCAAGAAGAGGACAGTAATAAGTTCTAAAAAAAATTTATTCTACTTATTAAATAGAATAAATCAAATGTGGGAGAAATAAGACTAAGAGTCGAATAAAATGGATGAGGTGAAAAACACCACAAGGAGAATAAACAAGTCTACAACTAACGAACCGATTGACTTTACGTTTTTTTGAAAAGTGGCGAGCCACAATTAATAAATAAAAGGAATTCAAGAAATTATTTTTGCATACATACATAAATTCCTAAATAAGTTAAGTTTTGTGTGTTACAAGGGTTTTAAATACATGTTCTGTCAGAAGTTCGACCGAAACACATATGCGCTTATATGAATACGAAACACAGACGCGTGTGCATGTGCCATTCGGCCAATTCCAAATAATCGTCGCATAATAGTTTGCACAATCGTTTTTGTTAACCGAATTAGATAAATAAGAATATTAATAAGCCGATTTAACAAAATAAACAATTACGTATTTTGAATTAACTGCTGCGGTATATAAACAATGAATATTTTCTTTTTTGACAAATAACACAAATAACGAACATGTGAATTTCAGATCTCACGTGGAATGTCTTGCCCGGATCAAAAAAATTTACGTATTCCTATTGGTTCGGGGTGGAATTTTTGATTTTAATTTACAGTTTAGAAATCTTTATACAGTCTCATAATCAACGAATCTATTAAAAATTAAATTTTAAAAAATCAGATGATCAAGACGTTTTTTGATTTGCAGAACTGGAGACAATATAAAGGGCATGTAAAAATTTCGCATAAATCGGTTTTATACTGTAAACATCATTATGCAAATCACGCAAATCATGTTATAAATAGTGATTTGAACCGGTTGGACCATAATCGGGTAACCGACCCGAACCGAAGAAATTCTGTTGAACCGGTTGAGAAAATTTTTTAATCGGTTCAACCGGTTCAACCGATTTCAACCGGTTAACCAATTATTAAAAGCATTATCCTTGTTTGCTTAAATTACTCTTTTGTCAATGATATCAATTATCATATTATTTGTATTATACAAATGTGCGTGAAGGTGGTGGAAGTTGTGGAAGATCATGAAACTTAAATAAATAGTGATTTGGCTTGTAAAAAATCTTCCATTTTGGAATGTTAATGATGTCGAACAATGAGTATGATGAGATTTCACAAACTGAAAGCTCACATGAAACCGAAAGTTTACATAAAACTGAACCAAGACTAGAAGATGAACAAGATATTCAATAAAGTATTCAACAAAGTACTCAGCAAACTATTCAGCAAAGTACTTAGCAAAGTACTTAGCAAACTATTTGGTGAAAGTATAAGTGACATAATAATATGTCAATTTAAAATAAAAAAAACATGGAGAAGAATCTATTTGTGAAAAATCATTCAGGTACTTATCAGAATGATTTATATCTAATATGAATTTACATCTGGCAGATGAATATGACTTGATAGAATTTCAAAGAGAAAACAAGATAAGCTATATAATTAATAATATAATTAATTAATTTTTGAATTATACAAAAGCTTTGAACTCTTAGCAAATTATTATCGATATGCTATATATCACTCTTTACAAAGAAATCAAAAAAATTAATATTTATTATGCAGTTATAAAATAACTTATCATTGATAATTATTTACTTAATACTATTAATAAAGAAGAATTTTACTAGTTTATACTATCAATTAATTCTGTTTTTCATTAATCTTCTTATAAAATACTAAAAAAAATATTATTTAAAAATATTAATATAAGAAATCAAATACATAAGCTTTTGAAAAAAAATAGTAAAATGATTTCTTTAATTATGAATCTTTGAATAACAAGAAATAAAATTGAATATATTAGAATTATAGTATATTAATTAAATAAAAAGTTTAAATTAAATAAAATCTTACTTTGCTTAGAGTTAATATCATATTTTTATATTAATTAGATAATTAAAGAATTTTTCATTCAAAAGATTCAAGATTTTAATTTATATAGATAATAATAGTAATATTATTATTATAATAATATAAAATTTCTTAATTCTATAATCTTTCTTTGATTATATGAAATTTTATTTTTCTATAATTTTATAATTTATCCTATAATTATCTTTATTCTTTTATAATTATATCTTTATTTCTTTTATTATATTTATCTTTTATAATTATATTTTTATTTTTAGATATTATATACTATTCTCTTTATTTGAAATTTACATTTTTAATTTATTTATTATATATAATTCATATATTTATTAGAATAATATACTTAAAGATCTTTCTTTTTAATTTTTAATGGAATAATAAAATATTTTTCAATATTTATTAATATTAATATTTCAAATATCTTTTAATATTTATTAATATTGATATTTCAAATATCTTTTAATATTTATTAATATCAATATTTTAAATATCTTTCAATATCTTTCAATATTCTCAAATATTCATATTTTTAATATTAATATTTAGATTATTAGTACTTTAAATTATAATATTAACATATATTTTTAGATAATATTAATTAGTAATACTATAATAATTTATATATTTGAAAAATATATAAAAGAATTTGTTATTCTAGTTAAAATAAATAGTTTTAAATTAAATTATTTGAAAAATATAATTAAAAAGCTTATTATTATAATAATAATAATCTTTTTAAATTTCTTTTTTAATTACACTAGTACTCTTTTTCTTACTTAGTTTTATTTCTTTAATTATATAAAGTTAATTTTAATTTGGAATATAATATTATATTGATTTTAATTTTTGATATTATTTTAAAAGTAGAAGATCTCTACTATAAATAAGTCATATTTTTTATTTTATTTGGTTTATTATTTTGAGAATAAAAGATCTTTACTATAAATAAGTTATATCTTTTTAATTATTTAGTTTTTCATTTATTCTAGTTTTTATTTTTCTTTAATTATAGTCTTTTTTAATTAATAGTAGCTTTACTATTTAATTATTTTAAATTCTGAATTATATTAATTACTAGTAAATTCACTGATTAATCTTTATAATTTCTTTAATTTATATTATCCTTTTATTATTTATTTATTCTTTTTAAAGATAATATCTATAAATATTGATATAGATCTTGTCAATATTGAAAATATAATCTAATTTCTTTTTTTTTGTTCTTTAATTAATTCAATCTCTCCCAATTCAATATTATTAAGATAAATTCAAGTAAAAATCTACTTATCAGATTTGCTATAATAATATAAATTATTATAATATTACTAATTAATATTATCTAAATATATATATTAATATATTTTAGAATTAAAATATTTCAATTATATAGATTGAAATCTGATCATTAAACAAAAACTAAATATTAAGATTTTTATAATATTAAGATTAAAATATTATAACTAAAATATTAAGTTTAAAATATTAAGAATTTTTTTAAAAGAATTAAAAAATAAAATATAATTAAAAAGTTTTATAATTATATTAACTAATTATTTTATAAAATATACTAAAATAAATATATATATGAAATATTAATATTAATATAATACATATAATACATATAATCAAAAATATAAATATCAAATTTAGAAAATAAATATGAAATAAAATATAATTTTTAAATATAAATATAAATATAAAAAAAATATAATAATTAAAATAATTATATAATTAGATAAAAATAAGCATGATCAGATGATAAATTATAAAAATAAAAAAAAATAGAATTTTACATAATCAAAAAAAGTTTATGAAATTAGAGAAACTTTATTACTATAGTAATATTTGATTCTCCTTCAGAAAATTTTTACTTTTGCAAAAATTAAGTAATAATTTCATTTCTTTTTAAATGAAATAACTTAAATTATATAAAATTAAATTAATTAACCAGTATTTTTTCTTCTGATTGATAAATATTAAATACTTTTTAAGCAATATTATATAATTTTTTATATACTAATTTTTCAAGAGAATTATCAATTTTTCTTTTAATTTCTTGCATATTCTTTCAGTATTTTTATAATTAAATTAAGAATAAATATTTGAGTTTATAATATTAAATTATCTTTTTATTATTTTTTAGTGATTGATATAGATTATAAATATTACTTCTTCAAGTTTTATCAATTAATCTTTCTTAAAAGAAGATTTATTTTGTTTAAATATAATAATAGATGATTATAATTTTTCTTTAAGTAATATTAAACTATCAGAATTTACAAATTCTATTTTTTTTAAATAGTTTTATCAAGAATAATTTCAGATTTATCTTTTAAAATAGTAATAATAAAT